AATACGCTCAATTTTTTTTTAAACAGCCCTAAACTTTGGTTATTTACATAGTAGCTCTAAGGTAAAGAGTCTGAGTAGGGGTTCTTGAGTACTTAGCACTGTAGAATTGTAATGTTTTTTGAAAGTCATAGAATAACGAGAATTTCAATGTACACCCAGAATCATGAAATGTCCCATACCGTGAACAATTCTTATCAAGTCTGGGATGTGTAGATGTTTTCTTAGCGCGGGACAGAATTTTGAAATGTTGAGCTTGGATCCTTAAATTTGTTCTAAGATTTAGATTAAAAAATAATAAGGCTAAATTAACATTCTTAATAGGTAGCTGCAGAATCTCAAACAATATTCAAAACCTGAGAATGCAAAAAAGTTCTAAGAAACCAGAATTTGTTAACTCTGTAAGTTGAGAAAAATAGAAATCATTTGAAACTGTCATGCAGGTAGTATGAACGGATATTCCAGGCCTATGTATATTCAGATAACAAATTCACATTTCTCACAACCACAAGTGTTAAAAAAAACATAGGGGCCACAATGGAAACATTGGTATCATTTTGTAGCTTAGGGTATTACTTTTGATATCTTATAGAGTTTTTATAGAGTATGGCCAATTTGAGCCAATACATAAATTCAGCTAATTTGGGCCAATACATAAATTCAGCAATCGACTAAATTTTCAATAGCGACCAAAAATATCCATAAGTACCGTCCCAATGACGCGTTCATCTAGATAAAATTGATAAATAGCAGATTTTAAGTGATGAACCCAATATTAGATCCATAGGCCAACATTAGAGCCATTTCCCCTATCTGAAAAAAAATAAATTTTAACCTGATATAAGCAAACCGGGACAAGGTATGGACCTGAAGCTACCATTGGCATTGGCTAGCAAAATCTTGAACTTTGACACCCATGTTGATATGGTTCCGATCATGTCCCAAATTTACCACTTCCTACGTGGAATCCAGAACCTGCTCCAGGATGGCCATCGAAAACGATTCTGGACTCGCGCTGAAAAATCATGAGGATTGATACCCATATTTAAGTGATTCTAAAAATTAACATTACTGGTCACTTTACCCGAGTTCAAGGCAATGGATAGATGTCGGTTGTTTCTCGCATTGAATTCAAAATTAATTCTAGTATCACGAAAAAAATATGAATTAAAATAAATGTTCATACCAGAAAAAAATACAAGCGATCAGTTTTTGACATACCCTTTAAAAATTCAGAACATCTCCGGTGGCCACTGGCCGCCACAAATATTAAAATGATTTATTAAAACAGCTATAAATTTTCCCGTCAAATGCATCCAGTTACATCAAATCTTCGAAAAGTTAATGCAATTTGAATTTAGACAAAATTTTGCCTGTCCCGATCATTTTGTCTATCCTCTGTCTGTCAAATAATCATAATAGGCACTAGCCTTGGGACATTGATTCCAAATTATTCGAGTTATGATTTCAAATTCTATGTCAAAATATGACATAGAATTTGAGAAATAAAAGACTATACTTTCTTGTTTGTTCTTGTTTCACAATTATCATAGCAAAATTAAATACTAAACTGTGTTAGATTCTGCCAAGCTAGGCGTGGTACCTTGGTATATTCGGATTCCAATTCATGCACACAGTAAAAGTACTTGTTATCTGTTCGGTAGCACAGTATGTATATTCTGAATTTATTAATTACCATGTAATCAAGGCCTGCTTAGATATTATTTTGCACATCTTTTTTTGTATGTAAACTGAGACCAAGTTTTAATCTATTTAATCAACATAAATATTTAAATCGTTACAAAATAAAATCATCAAATCTTGGAGGTAGTCTTCTAAATCGTTGATTATTATCTCACTATTCATTGTTGAATCCCCGGAAAATTTCTTCAGCTGTTTTCCTCCTCTTGATCTTCTTCCATTAGTGATGTACTAAACATAGGTTTTGATGCATATGGTGTTACTAGATCAGCAGGGGTTGTAGCTGTTACGTCTTTGTCAGTTGAACTGATGCGGCTTCTGTAGGTGGAGTCCTAATTCTCTTCAAGTGTTATTAAACGTTTTTTCTAGTTTATTTGATGGCAAAAGGTTTTCCATTAGAACAGTATATCCTCTTTCGATGTCGGACTCCTGAGCGTGTCGCCTTCTGTCCTCCTTTTCTTTTCCTTTTTTCTTGTTGATCTTGTCCAGGTCACGTAAATCTAATGCTGCTGGTGTGGTTTCGATGTTCTCGATTGACTGCAACATGAATCTGATAGTACGCCCGTAGCACAGTTCTGTTGGAATTTCCCCGGTTGTTGAATGAGGAGTTGTATAATACATCAGTAAATTGTCGTTTAAATCCTTCTTCCAATCTCTTTTCAATGCGTTACTGATCTGTAGTCGCTTCAAAAGTGACCTATTTTGACTCTCTACTAGTCCGTTTTCCTGAGGCCAACATGGTGTAGTATGGTTTAACACTATCCCATGTATCTTGCAATATTCTCCGAATTCTTTCCCAATGAATTGTTTTGCATTATCAAGTGTTATTGTTCTAGGATAGCCCAGTCGCGTAAATATTTTGCCAAGTCTTTCAACTGTGTCACGGGAACTAATCCTTGACATAATTTCCACTTCTTTATACCTGCTAAAATAATCAACTACCACAAGTAAATACTCCCAGAAGTTAAAGGTCCCATGAAGTCGACTGCAACGTCAATCCAAGGTTTTGTTGGCAATTCTCGTCTGCTCATCGGGAGCGGTTTACTTGGCATTCCGATTAACTGACAACCTTCACAGAACGAAACGTAATCTTTTACTACCCGATCCATAGCTGACCACCAGGCCCGATCTCTCAAGCACCTTTTCATGATCGATTCCCCTGGATGACCCTCATGAGCTTGCTGGAGCATTCGCGGTGGAAGTTCTCGAGGTACAACTAGTTTATTCCCTCTTACAATCGTATCATCATTCAGCTCATTTCGGAATGGTTCAAATGGCTTCACTAATTGGTTATTCCAGTTTCCTGATACGAGACAATCTTTAACAGCTTTAAGTTCAGGGTCCGATCTAGTAGCAACTTCAATTTATCCTACATCAATCGCCGCTGATTCCTGAACAGCGAGAACTAAGAAATGGTTGTCTGTTTCGAATTCAACAGGATCCTCTGCTACTACCAACCGAGACAGTGAGTCTGCAATATTTCCAGAACCTTTAAGATATTTCACGGTAAACTTGAAGGATTGGGGCCTTAATACCCACCGCTCAATTCGAGCACACGGCGTGGATGAAGGTGAGAAAATGACCTCTGATCTGTCTCCAATTCAAATTATCTGCCAACCAGGTAAACTGAAAAAAAAAATTTCCACTGCCCATACCAACGCTACCCGAGCAAAGTCGGTTAACAAAATGAAAGCAAATCGATATTAAAGTGTGCAGTTTCTATCATAATGAAAACTCATTTTGATTTCAAATTTTGCGACATAAGTCTGATATCATATTGTGCTTTCATTATGCAGTCAAGACTTTTTAAATGAAAGCAACTTAACTTGAAGTTCTGCTGTTTACGTCTTGTATAAAATTTAATTGAAATTCATCTGTCGTTGAACTAATGATTATTGTTTATTTGATTTGTTTAACACATTTTAGATCATTCGTGACTTGCCCGGGGTGAGATTGGAGCCCAAGTCTTTCAGCTTGAGAGACATGAATGGTAACCATTTACTCCAGGCCCGTATTCAGTTAAACATTATGAATGCAAAATCAGTAATCAAATTGATTTCATTGAAAGCAGAATTAGTTTTCCGTTTGCTTCAACAGTGTAAAATTTTGCTCTCATTTTTGCTGTGTTAACCGTTAAGTCAACCAAAATGAGATCCACCGGAGTATTCAAAATAAGTTTCATCATAACATCAAATTTTGATTTCAATTTGATCTTCAGCTTTGCTCGGGTAGCGCCTTCTTCTCTGTTTGACAATAACTTTTCTCGCTAGATTGAGTGTTTACTTACGGTGAGTATTTTTCGAAAAATTAAAGAATCGGTGGTTTGCCATAGCACTTGAAACACGTAATTACCGACATGCGACAAAGATTATCAAGGTTGTACCTCTGCCGTTGGAAAGGCCATTACTCAACACTTGATACTCTTTTCGAGTTGCAGAATTGAATCCACTTCAGGTTGGATGTCTCATGGTATTTTTAAATGGTTTGAGGCTTAACCATTATTTGGGGTTTTCCGAAAGCCTGGATGGTGTAAGAGTGACATACCATGTCGTAGGCGTCAGGTTCGATGCCCTATTCGACCAAGGAATGTTTCGATTAGAATTTTTCTTTCAACTTTCTTGGGCATGCCACATTGCCACATATTATGCCGATACAAAAATGGTACATGCTTAGAAGGCTTTCAATTTACAACTGTGAAACAACTCAAAGAACACTAAATTGACGGCAAGCGAAAAATTCCATTTGGTAAATATTACCCAAAGACGTCGAACATTTGTCCAAGTCCAAACCACAGCTACAAAACCACAATAATTCATCTTCCGAAACCCGCCCCGGTGGTCGCATTTATCTGAGCGACAGCAAACACACGACCAGAAGAATTGAACTCATTATAAAAGTGCTATGAAATGTTGTCCCTACGTCAACTTTTTTCGTCAGATGTCTTGCACAACAAATGTTAACCCACCCATCATTGTACTTTTTGTTAGTTTTGTTCATCCACCAATTTTTTGTACACCGGCATCGCTTTTGTTCTGGCACTCCACACCGAATGGCGACATTCCTTGGAAGGCAGCCGGGTGCCGAAAATAAAAGGGTGAAAGAATTCATAATTGGCCTTCCGGACCACCCACGGGATAAACCACAAAATGTTTACGTTTTTCGACGCTTGCAATTCCAGCTGGCATTTTTGCACTCATCAATCTAGTCGCAAGTGTGCAACCACTTTAGCTAAGTTAATCCTTCATAGTGATAACAATGTGATGAGTGGAAACATATTTTGCTATATAAACCCCACCGAGGATTGCAATCAGCCTCTTCAGTCCCACATCGTACAGTAAACGATGGCTTTCAAATTCACGGTAGCTTTTCTGCTGGTCGCCAGTTTGGCACTCGTTTCCACCAGAGCCGGTAAGATTGTTCTCACCAACCAACGTGACCAAAATTCTACAACTTCCGTTTTATTCAACAGCCCACAAAATCGTCGGTGGTGAGGAGGCCGAAGCGCACGAGTTTCCTTACCAAATCTCTCTGCAGTGGAACTTCAACAACGGATCCCACACACCGATGCACTTCTGCGGAGGATCTCTGCTGAACGAGAACTTTGTCCTAACGGCTGGCCATTGCGAAACTGCCTATTCTGACAACGGTTACATCGAAGTGGTGGCCGCTGAACACGACACAGCCGTCGTCGAAGGCACCGAACAGCGCCGTCAGGTTGCCAAGTTCATTGTCCACGAGAGCTACAACCCAGGAATGGTCAGCCCCAATGACATTGCTGTCATTCGTGTGGATGAGCCGTTCGAGCTGAATGCCCAGGTGAAAACCGTACAGCTGCCCAAACAACTGGAGCAATTCGAAGGTGATGTCACTCTGAGTGGATGGGGATCCGTTTCAACGTCGCCGTACCCCGAATATCCGGATAAATTGAGGGTGAGTTAGGGTTTGGATTCTTAGAAGAAAAGTTTTACTAAGCAGCGGGAAAAATTTCAGAAAGCCGTACTTCCGTTGGTTGCTTACAAGAAGTGCTTGGCTATGTGGGATTACTCGGATGTACTGGAAGAAAGTAACGTCTGTGCTGGCCCAGTGGATGGTTCCAAGTCGGCCTGTTCGGCCGATTCCGGTGGCCCACTGGTAAAGCAGTCCGGCGATGAGGTCATCCAGGTCGGAGTCGTGTCCTGGGGTGCAGTCCCGTGTGGAACACCACTTCGGCCGACCGTGTTCGCTGGAGTTGCCCACTACGTCGATTGGATCCAGCAGAAGCTCCGTGAATAGAGAAAGGTGGGACTCTTCTCGATGCAAGTTTGAACATACGAACAACAATGGAATAAAATGGTGATGGTAAAAGCAAAACTTGTGAATTGTTCATGGTGGAAAGAAACTATTTCATTATTATGGAACTTATCCGTAACTGGTTGAAACCACAAAGTCTGGTAGACGATTTTTCTAAAAAAGATAAACAAAACTCAGCCATTCCATAACGAACCGATATAGTGGTTCTCAGAATGTCATAAAAATTGGTAGTTTTGTTCCTTATAGAAAATATTAGACTAAGGGTGACCATTTCCATGTTAGGGTGGTCCAAAAAATCATTTTTAATGACATTGATTTATAGCGACTGTAACATGGTCACGATGCATGGTAGTCTAGTCGCATAAGAGAATTGAGCGAAAACCCAAAACTTGATAACTTCAAAAAAATAACTCAAAAACGGAAATAAAACACATCGCTAATTTTTTTATGTTTTGTGTAAAAAAGCCTTAAATTTCAAGGAAAAATATAAAAATGTATTGCGCCTTCTGTCTATCATAAAAAAAAACAAATGCAATCAATATTTTTCAATACAGAATTTCAATTTAATATCATTATATTTTTACTAAGAATTATTTTTAATTATCTTTCATTTGATATTTTGATTTTTGAAATCGGCCCAGTGGTTCACAAGATATGAATTTTTGAAAACAAGTCTATTTTGAATAAAAAATCGATTTTTTTGACCACCCTAACATGCAAATGGTCATCCTAAATGACAAAATAAAAAAACGGGTCCAATGTTTTGAGATAAGGAACAAAACTAACAATTTTTACGACATTCTGAAAGTCACTATATCTATATAGGGGAAATGGATGTAATGTCGGCCTAAATGCCCTTAATTTGGGCACATTTATGTAGCAATCGACTAAATTTTCAATAGCGACCAAAAAAATCCATTAGTACCGTCCCAATGACGCGTTCAACTTGATAAAATTGATAAATAGCAGATTTTTAGCGATGGGCCCAATCTTAGATCCATAGGCCAACATTAGAGCCATTTTCCCTATATATTGACTAAAATGGCTGTGTTATGGTGACAATGATAAAAAAATTGAAACCAACCATGTACGAAGTATGCATTGGCCCGAAATAAGACTCTATGCTAAATTTGTGCTCAATCGGACATGATTTGGGGTGGCGCAAAATTGTCAAAGTTTTCATTTTTCAGTCATTTGTTCCAATACAGCTGGGAAATCATCTCGATTCTGCACAACATCAGCGGCTTTTAGAGTGTCGCGACGAGTGTTGAGAGGTTCTAGGTGTATTAATGAAGCTGAACAGTAAGAACAGATGCTGATTATTGGTTGATTTAAGGTGTACAAAGCTGATTAACAGCAGGCTGAATATATAGTTGATTAGTAGTGCATGAAGCTAATTGTATCCCCATAATCCAACCTCAATAAGTTAGCTGATCTAAAGATTGAAGAAGCCTTATTCAAACTTAACACAACTCCACAAATCAGCAATGCGTTACACATATTTTGACAGCTTGATTTGTTAAATGTCGTGAGTATCTGTGTCACTCGTTGCATTTCCGGCATTTTAGTTCTTCAAAATTCACTACCTCCTTTTCTACTTACAAGCAGTGGCAGCAATAGAGGCAAGGAAGAGGAGATTTTAAGGAATAGCTCCAGGTAGAAGTGAGCTGCGACGACGTCGGAAGTATTGACATTTGTATTTCTGTGCTTTCACTGCTATATTGCACTGAATTTTCAGACAGAATACCAAAAATATAACTTAATTATGGCACTAAAATTGCTTCCACATGACTATCGAAATAAATCACACACTTGTGTCCACATTGTGTTAACTACTTTTGAAAATGAGGCTGAATTAAAATCGATTGAACAACACTTGTTAAGTATCAAATTGTTACCTGGGACGTTCTTCATAGGGGGCAGCCTAAAAGGATTACGTAGAGAATGAATCTGCGTTGAACTGACTCGATTCGCTCAACTTCATTATGATAAAAAGGGTTCCAAACAGCTGCACCATATTCTAATGTAGATCGTACTAGGGAACAGTATAACGATTTAAGGCAGTACACGTCAGTGAAATCCTTAGCTATCCTAAAGATAAGCCCCAAAGATCTGGAAATGTGCTGTTTGAACGTCAGTTCTGAGTCCAAGATAATGCCCAGGTCCTTCACGTGACTTACTCCTTCAATTGAAATACCCACGACTGTGTATTTGAACGTTAAGGGCTCTTTTTTGCGAGAGAAGGTGATTCTGGAGCACTTGTTAGGGTTTACTGTCATGCGGTTTAAATCACACCAGTCACTGAATCTATCAGTCTGATTGTATAGAAACATAGCGTCAGCATGCGTTTGAATCTTGAGAAAAAGCTTAAGACATCAGCGAATGACAATCGAGGTATCTTTAGCACAAAGTTCACATCGTTGAAATCGATTAAGAAAATTATTGGCCCGAGATGACTTCCTTGAGGACTAGACAGTGAAGAAGTTTGCAAGTAGGGGAAATGAATCTAATGTCGGCCTAAACGCCCCTAATTTGGGCCCATACATAAATTCATCAATCGACTAAATTTTCAATAGCGACCAAAACTATCCATTAGTACCGTCCCAATCACGCGTTCATCTAGATAAAATTGATAAATAGCAGATTTTTAGCGATTAGCTCAATTTTAGATCCATATGCCAACATTAGAGCCATGTCACATAGTAAACGAAATACGTATCTGTTATAGTTTTTTTAAAAAGTGATAGTGAAAGTAAATAGTGAATTAGTGAAAGTGAAAGAGATACAATCTACTACTATTGTTGAATTAAAATTAAAAGGAATAACATCGTAATAACGTAAACATTTTTACATCGATTTCCCAAATCTCATCGAAATTCCAGTACCTAGTCGATTTTTGGCAAAAAAATGTTTCAAGTTAACACTGGATCTCGACGTTTCATGTATTTTTAAGTTATTCGGCATCAAAGATAAAATTTCGATTTTCGATATTTCCTGTAGGGCAAATGACAGCTTCGGCAAAACCCAATTCTATTACCGTCAGGGGGATAAACAAAATCCTTGAGAGCTCAATTTTGGCATGTGGATAAATAGTGTTTCAGAGCATCTATTGGCAAAATTTGAGTGCTCTAGGACTTTGTATACCCCCTGACGATAATAGGTTAAGGTATTGCCGAAGCTGACATTTTCTCTATCCCTCTATCTAGGGAGATTTTTCAGATGAAAAAAGTTCAAACTTTGACCATTTTGCGCCAAATCATGTCCGATGGAGCCCAAATTTATCTCTTTTTTCGACGCAATGTACACTTTGTATATCTACACTGCCTATAATAATCACATATCAGTCCTATATGGATGATGGTCAATTATGGGATTCTAAACGTTATCCATTGTCAATTTTGTTCATAGTTATTTTATTTGTCCTGGCTCATTAACATTAGCTTTACGGAGCCAACATTCAGTTTTTGTTTAGCAAAATTACTTAAACCTAAAATTAGTTCCATTGCACTAGTTTGCAGCATATTTGAACTTTGTACACTGATGGTCATTTCCCATGTAAATTCGTGCGCTGAATCCAAAAATGTAGTCAGAAAAATCTCAGTAGGATAGATTTCTAGATAAATCATAAAAGTTTTAGGGGAAATGGCTCTAATATTGGTCTATGGATATAAGATTGGGCCCATCGCTAAAAATCTGCTATTATTATTATTATTATTTCCCTTGATTTGTTTTCCGTCGATCTTGTTTTCCGTGCTGAGCACCAATGCTACCGACGCCAGGGAGGCAGCTCCCACACCTGGACCCTATCTATCGACCCATCAACTCATGATCCGGAGACCAACGGCTTTACTTCCCTGGTCCCGTGATCAGAAATGTTATGCCTCAGAACATCCCGGCGGGTATCAATTATTTCAAACTGAAATTAGAACCACGACATCGAGCATGTTGTTTGTTCTTGTACTTTATACTATGTTGCCAGATCTGAGTTGTGTGAATCCTATTAGGAGCTATTTGAGTTACAGGGTTGTTACGAGAAATTTGAAATTAAATCCGCGCCAAATCCTGCGCGGACTTTAAATGAAAATCGCGCGGACTTTATATCAAAATAGCGTAAGTCGACCGAAATTTGACTTGCGCCCAGGTTCAGACGAAAACAAGAAATAACCTAAGATATGCGATTGCAATAGGACAACAAATAAAGTAAAGGAAACTTCTGTCAGCGATAAACGTTAATTTTTTATCAATGATATAACAAGCACTTATTTTATTGAATTAATGCATCAAAACACTAATAATCTTCATTAGCATTCATTTTAGCCAACTTTTCTTTTTCTGATTTTTCGTCCTGCTCAATGTTATCTTTTGCTTCAAAAGAACTTTTAGGAATGATGTTTCTGGATTATTGGATGTCATTGTTCTGATTTTTTTTCCATCAAATTAAAAATATCTTCTTTTGCCTCTCTTTTCTTTCCGATCTCTTCTTCTTGTCTTTTAATGTGGTGTCTGGCTAACTTCCTTTCTTTTTCCTTCTTTTTCTGAGCTCCCATAAATTCACCTTCTTTCTTTTGTTCCTGCTTAGTGTCGGATGGCTTATATTATATATAATATTTTTAATTTTTAATCTGTCCTACTTATAATACATACACTTAATTTCGTAAGATTTCCTCGCGAACTTGGCATTCAAAATTAAGTCCTTCGAAACAACAAATTTGGTTACATCATTATCAAAAAATGCATGCCACTCAAAAATTTTACGGTTATTGAAATGCTAGTTCAGTTCTCTGGCATCAAATGCTTGGATAGTGAAAACTTCCTTTCTACTTCTGCATTGGAATGCGATACGCATGTTACAATGTTAAACAATGTGCTGAGTTCTGAGAAACTTCCATCTCGAAATAGAGGATCCAGAATTTCCAAATCACAATCTGAATCAAATGTTTGACCTGCCAATTTCACACTTGCATGTACGAGTTATTCGTGTATCTTAGATTTGTCTTATTTGAAATCAATTAATTTTGACTAAACGGATGATTTCCTTGATGTAGTCCTTATTAATGAT